ATGAATTATCCCTAGAAATGACATTTTCTGGTGGCCTCGACCTGACGTTGATCACCAAGGCTACTAGCGTAAATGGCTACACAGACGTGATGTCATCATGGGACCTAAGTTTGGTAGTCCGCGGTATGACTTTCGGTTGATACTACGAAAAGGTTGTTAGGCACTAATCACATGATTAAAAACGCAGATTTCGCCAATGAACTGAATACCAATTCTGTTCTATATCTCCATTGTAATGTTAGGCTAACTGATCTCGCAATTTTGCATCCCGAACTTCTTTAAGACAACGCAACACTAGGATCTGAATTCAAAAATAAATCCTACTGAACCACGTTTTCTTGTTCCAGCGCCCGCGCCACATTTGTCGTGGCCAATGCGCGCGAAAATTCATATGTATTGCGTTTTTGTAGGAGATTTATATGCAAATGAATAAATATCACATGTAACGTTTACAGTAAATTCGTTAATGCGCGAAGATTGTCAATATATTCGCATTGCAGTTCCTATATGGAGTGAAATGTGAAAATAGGGTAATGCCGGGAGAGCAGGTGCCAAGAATTTTGCTGTTGCTGCGCTATGACCTCCCTAGGTGTTGGTTAACTTGCGGGCCTATAATGGATGGATTAGCTAAAAATGGCGCGCAAACAATAATATCTCGACCACCCCAGAATATATTTTATCTGATTATTTCGGAGCTGAGACATGGGCCGCGATTCTTTGACTGGCAGAAGTTGCAAAACTTGCCAGAAACCGGCCGTTTTTGCAGGAAAATCTGCTATCTTGAACTGAAACTGAAATGGCACGCGGTGTATCTAAGCCTCCCAGGGTCACTACTCACTACACTATGAAGGCAGGCCAACGCCGCATCCAACCTAAAAACGATCCCCCTAAACCTACAGGATGTGCATTCCAACTTCTCAATGCGCGTCCCAGGGTGCTGCGAGCCCGTCCGACCCGCCGTATCTCATCCGCAACCTATGTTGCTGTTTTTGTATGTCGTACTTCCTTACGCAGGCTGTTTCTAAGCACTTCCGGCTAGATCCTCGGGATAAATGACTTGTGAATGGGTTACCCGATCTGTCTGTCGGGGGCAGGCCAGAGGCGCATTTCAGCAATAATTTTGCAGCTCTGGTACAACCCAACGTCATTTCTCAGCTCAAAATGCTTTATTAAATGTGCTAGGTCGAAACAATTGGTTTATGGAAATATTCATGCTTAAACCAGCCCGCAAAGAACAGCGTTTTTACCCCGCCGCAGCGGTGGTGCCATATGACTTAGTTCCATGATGACGTCACAGTATCGCTACCCACAACGCAGTAATGCGGGGCTTGAATTTGACCTTCCATGGGTCAGCAACCTTACAAGGCACATCTGATATGATACCAAAACGTCTGCTATTGAATTGCCAATAGTGTACAAGTTTAACGCGGCTACGCCACGCCATTCGGAAATCATTCTTGAAAAAACGTCGGGGGAGGGAGGGGAGTAAAGTGATCCCAACCGACCGTGTATTAAGAAAAACGCCTAAACCGAGAATGTGAATACAAGTGAATGCAACGATTGAAAAAGAACACCACGAGAAAGGGCCGAAACACGAACACGCAACGAAGGTTTGCTCCGCACGCACGTGCAGGACTGTCATGGCCACCTCACGTAGATTTAACTACTACATGTTAGGGCGGCAATTTCACTCAGCTAATTTAGCTGCACATCAACGCCATACAAACGTTCCATGACTCAATCAACAATGACGCATTGAGGAACATGTTAAATAGAGACGTTTTGCTGTCTAGCGCAGTCTTTTATGCAGCAAAAGCAAAAGTTCCTTCTTAAAATACACCAATAGTTAAAAGTAAGCTTATTTTATCATTAAAAATTGCTGACGTCCTTAATGGGACGAAGCTGTGGCACATCAGGGGGTGGGGAATCGATGTCAGGCAGCACATTCTGCACTCTGACGTCTTTCAGCAACTCATACATTGTCTTAGAAACTGAGCGCTTGATACGTCTGACCAGAATAGCATTCCCATGCTATGATAGTTCTCATCCAAAAAAGAATGGGCGCGCCTGTTATGAATGTCCTTCGGTAAGCGTTGCCATCAACATTGGCCTTGCTCGGCATAGAGGAATGCGTTACACCTCTGAGACAGGTGGCGGGCCACATCAGAAGACCACAGGCAACTTGCTGTCTGGCCTCACTTGCACTCAGTTGGACACTCTCCGCCAGGTCCAACACATTATCCAATGATTTCTTGCTTATGGTTCTCGTGGCAGGTAGAGTAGATCTCTTCATCCTTGACGGTACATGCTTTCCATTTGACGTGTGTCCTTGTGTCTGTTTTGTTGCAGTTTTTGGGTTATTTCTTATTTTGGGGTGGGCTGGGTGCCATATTGCACCTTCGGAACTTACTTCCTTGCCGTCAGAATTCGTTGTGATGCCTCTCGTTTTCCAGCGGCGCCTCGAGAAGCAGCTGTCGCTGTTTGTTTTTTTAGCTGGATTTGGTTGCTCGGTGGTAATTTTCAGCTCTAGAAACATCCTCACGGGCCTTGGCAGTTGCTAGCGTTCGGAAAATACTCGCTTGTGGAATCCCAAACGGTCCACAGTGCTACGAAATACATGAGTTAGGGGCCGCCCGCGTTCTCATGGGCATGTCTCGCGACAATCTCACGGGCACCCGGCCTTCATACTGACTTCATGACGGCAAAAAAGTACATTTTCTGCAGTATGTAATTCATGAAGCTTTTTGCATGATTTAGATTTTACGTGCCAAATGCCCGTGGTGAGAATCGCCATGTTAAAAACCCGCACAAGTAATGGAAAGCTTCTCATATCCCAATTGCCATCTCCACTTCCGTTCAATTCTAAAAACCGATCATCCTATCTTACGAATGCAAGCAAATAAACGCTGCCATTGACGAACGCTATTGTGTTAAAACAAAATACCCCTATTCCCGAGCTCGATGAAAATGCTTTACAGAAAACCATCAGCACAAACATCAAAGCCTTCTTAAAAAGTAGAACAACAGTGTTGCCATAAAGAACATCTGAACAGCAAATACAAAACAATTAAAGCACAGCAATATAGTGTTTGAGTTTGAATAGCCATGCAGAGACCGCTAGACAGACTCCAGCCATCTGTTCGCAGGGTCACAGATGACGCTTCGGAGGCCCAAGCTGCGATCCGCCGTAGATGATCACCGGTCGGTTTTCCATCCGTGCACAACCATCTGGTCGGTGTTCCATCCGTGTACAAATGTCCAGTCGGTGGTCTATCCGTGCACAACCGTCCGGTCGGTGTTCCATCGTGTACAAATGTCCAGTCGGTGATCCATCCGTGCACAACCGTCCGGTCGGTGTTCCAACTGTGCACAACCGTCCGGTCGGTGGTCCATCCGTGTACAACCGTCCGGTCAGTGGTCCATCCGTGTACAACCGTCCGGTCGGTGTTCTATCCGTACATGACCGTTACACTTTGGTCTGTCTGTGCATAATTGTCAGTCCGTCAGTCCAACCGCTGGTTCATCTGTATGTCAGTCAGCGTCCCATCCGCACAAAACTGTCAGTCGGCGGTCCATCCGCATAAAACAGTCAGTCCGCAGTCCATCCGCATACAACTGTCAGTCGGTGGTCATCCACAGATAACTGTCAGTCAGCGTCCCATCCGCACAAAACTGTCGGCCGTTGTTCCATCCACACTTAACTGTCAGCCAATATTCCATCCGCACAAAACTGTCAGTCGACGGTCCATCCGCATACAACTGTCAGTCGGTGGTCATCCACAGATAACTGTCAGTCAGCGTCCCATCCGCACAAAACTGTCGGCCGTTGTTCCATCCACACTTAACTGTCAGCCAGTATTCCATCCGCAAAAAACTGTCAGTCGGCGGTCCATCCGCATACAACTGTCAGTCGGTGGTCATACACAGATAACTGTCAGTCGGCAGTCATCCGCACAAAACTGTCAGCCGGTGGTCCGTCCTCAAGGCCGTCCATAACCGGCAGGCGTCGGTGTGTCCCCAGACTCGTACATAACCGACAGGCAGCGAACCGCCCGAGGCGGAAAAACGGCGGAAATCGATGCGCGGCGGCTCGGGCGGCGGCGCGCTGCCGGGCTGCCCGCCCGACGCTCCAGCATGATGGACGGGCGGGCGGGCCAGAGGCGGACCACGTGGCGCCTCGGCTGCCCCGCGGCGATTTGAGAGCCCCGCCCTCTGAAGCTGGTCCGCACTGGCAGACGCGGTCTTTCACCAGGGCGTGGGGCAGAACTGCTAAGGTACGTCATTTAAAGCAACGCTCGGGTCGGAGAATTACTTACCAGAGGCTGACGGAAGCGCACATCGCGCGACGTACGCACAAGCATACAACTAGGGACATTTATGATCGTGGGCAAGCTACCGACTGCGATGCAAAGCATCTCATTTTACGACTGTTAATTAAGTATACCCCAGGCTGTTGGCTACTGATGCTTTATTTAGAGTAAAAAGGATGCTTAAAAGAAAGCGCACACCAACTATTTGCACTACGTCGGATAGAACGTGATGGATTTGTTAACGAAACGTATTTTTGCCCCACCAACAGGGCGCCACAATAGACATCGATGTAAACGTTCCTTCCAAAATAACTGCATTCCTTCAAGCAGCAAGAACACAGTTACTCTGATTTGGCAATCGGTGCTTCAACCTTACTAACTCTGTTCAAGCATGGACGGACGATTACACAGCGGTTCAGTTCGGCGTGCTTTCATGCAGCACACTTGGAACGGCAGGTGCCTGGCGTTCGCACCTGGTGCTAGTACGCTCTTTGGCGTCCGTACCTGGCGCTCGTGGGTTCTGTGACGCCCGTACCTGGCACTCGTGGGCTCTGTGGCGTCCGTACCTGGCGCTCGTGGGTTCTGTGACGCCCGTACCTGGCACTCGTGGGCTCTGTGGCGTCCGTACCTGGTACTCGTGGGTTCTCTGGCGTCTGCACCTGGCACTCGTGGGTTCTCTAGCGTCAGTACCTGGCACTCGTAGGTTCCGTTGTCGCTGGTGGTGACACATTTGATCTGGAGAGTCCAGTCGGCTGTGTCGGGATCGAACAGGCCCTGGAACCGCTTGTCCGTGATGTAGTTGACCTTGCCACCTGTCAGGATGTGGTAATCCTTGCGACGAACCCACACCTGCCGACAGAGCAGGGCTCATTAGTGTTCGGACTGGCGTTCTGCGAGCGACCCCCGAATATCAGCTGCTCGTCGGAGATATCTAAGGGATCGTAGGCACGCATCCTGTCATGACAGCCATTGGCTGACCATGTGTGGCACATTGTGCGTCATGATTACATCAGCGTCTGCTTTCTAAGTAAATGTGCGTCAGGATGAATATGTCGGCAGAAGTCTAACGCAAATGCTCTGATCATGCGGGATAGAGGTCTGAAGTCTCTGAAGATCCAACGTGGCGTTCTTGCCCAGCACATGGTGGTCTTACTGTGTTCATTTTACTCTAGGCACAGCCAGGCCAAGACGTTGGAAAGGTCAAGGTTCAGTCTTCCGTTCAGCGCAGACTTTTTTAACGCTTTTCGTTCGTTTTGTTTTTGCGTGCGTTCTTATGCATGCGCGTAGGGCGCTCACGATTGCCAAGCCGCACCCATCGGTATGCCGGGGGCATGCATCTATACAATTGGTTGGCGCTCCTGCACAGGCGGGCGCAACGTTGCCGGCAACGAGCCCTCCGCGCTTGCTTGAGAGCGGCACGGACTAACAGAACAGTGGCACCAGTGAGATGGTCTCAGGGCCACAACGAACGTGAAAACGGCCGCGGCGTCTCGAGAACACCCGCCATGGCGTCCGGGTGCGTCCGGGCGATCCACGTCTTGAGCATGGTGTCCGACGCAGGGGCGCGTGGCGGCTCGTCGACCGTCTGTCGGTGACGACGCCGGCCGAGTCAAACGGCCGGCCGCGCCGGCACCGATCTCATTCTGTCGCCGCAACGGCCCGCTCCGGCTGATGGAACTGCCGGCGCCGGCCCGACCACGGCACACGACTCGGCGGATGGGAGGCGGGCCGACCCGCCGGAGGAAAGGAGTCGGCCCCGCAGAAGGAAAGGGTCGACCCGCCGGAGGAAAGGGGTCGACGCAGCAGCGGACGGGGGCCGACCAAAGTTCAGGGAAGGAGCAGACCCACCGGAGGGAAGGGGTCGGCCCGGCAGAAGGAAAGGAGCTGACCCGCCGGAGGGAAGGGATCGACCCGGCAGCGGGCGGGGACCGGCCCAGCGAAGGGAGAGGGTAGGCCCGGCGGAGGGAAAGGGGTCGACCCAGCGGAGGGCGGGAACGTTGCCGATGGGCTAAGCCTCCTGACAGCGTTTGTTCGTGTCAGGATTGCACCGGTATCCAGTGTAGTGGACCTCTCGCTGTAGTCCTGTTGAGCTTTAGGGTTGTTGTTCCTCCCTGAGATGGCGGGGTCCAGAATTAATCTTTGTTGCTTTTACTTGATGCGTCTTTGATTCATGTGCTCACAATTTACACTATTCGCTTTGCCCGTAAAGTGGGCAAGATTTAGTCAAAATAGCCATGCAATGTCAGCGACCTGGCGACCTGATGTGTACACTTTCTTTTAAGCACGTCAATTTTGATACTTCGATCTCAGGGCGAAAAGTCTGTGACCAAAAAAACTAAATCCCAGCGATTCTCTGGACCCCTGCAGTCAAAGATCATGCCGTCTCTAAAGCTCGTAATAGCTACCACGCTCACCCTGCGGTAGGGCGTAACTCTATACCTTTCCCAGCGGCCTCAACATGGCAACATGCGCCAGCAATCACCGCCCTCCACCACGTCAACACCGAACTCCATTAGTGTGCAGGCACCACAGACTGCAGCGGAGGCCACCATCGCCACGGTCTTGGAAGCCTCGTCCAGCGCATGACTGCTTGTCCAGCAGCGCCGAGTGTGCCCAGTACAGCGCCCTTGCATATTCCACAGGCGGCCCGAGGCACAGCGGTGGAATACAACCTAGCTCGCGGCTCGTACAGCAGCAATAAAGCACCCAGGCAAACAGACACGAGGCTCGCGGCGAGCGAGAGAAATGCAGCCGTCATGGGAGCCGAGCTGGCGCACACGACGCGTGGGGAGTGCTTCCAAGGCCGATGGCTCCCACGCGGCGCCCGGGGCGAACGACTGCGCGGATTACGCTCCGGACACCGTGTGTCTGCAGCGAGTGTCCCCCACGTGACCGGGGCCAGCGGGATTAGTGGTCCAGCGGGGGATGGGGGGGGGGGCGTGAGCCTCCGCTTTCTGAGAATTTGAAATGATTGCTATGGATGTTGAGTGCAAAATATTAACAAAGAAGGCTGTGAGCCAGCTAGACCACCTCACAGATTGAATTAATTCACGGATTGTGGACCAATGTGGGGCCCAAATTGCACCGAATTAACATTTCAACTAAAACATGGATTGCAACCGGAACGGATTTTCAGATTTGCCAGCTCACAAGGATTGAGCGAATTGGAAAAACCATGAGCTTGAATTCATCACTAAATGGTATTTTAAATGCTCAATAAAGACATCAACTCATAAAACAACCACTATATCAATAAAAAAACCCATGCTTTCAATTCCAAGCAATGCAAAAACAAGCCACATACAGCATAACTTCGCCACATCTTTCATAAACAAATTTTCTGGCAAACAGATATCACCGACAGATTGATATGAGTGAGTGACACTCAGATATGCTGCTAAGGAAAACTAGAGCTCCATTCCTTCCCAGGTAGCTGAAATACATCAAAATCTAGAACCCTCTCTTGTCACATCTTGGCTTCCGTTACTTCTGATGTCAGCAACTCCATATAACACAAACGGATGATAGTGCATTTCAAAGTTCAAAACAGGGCAGGTGCATAAGTTGCTAGTAGAAAGCACACCATAAAGTTTTGAAATGTTAGCTCCTGTGTGAGAAAGTTAGTAAGCTATATGGTAACGCTAAAGTTCCTCTTTACCTAGTCAGTCAGCCAACGTTATGAGTTTAACACCAGCTTCGACTTCAGTATGCTGCTTCAACAGATTCATTTCCGAGTGCCTGGCTCACCAAAGGTTGTTGTATCCTCACAATTATTTGTCTACCCACTCACCTCACCAATTAACCTGCGTCAAAGAATGAACATGTAGTCCCCTTCAGCCAGGGACCGCAGGTGACTTCTGCCCAAAAGTGAGTTAGGCACTCTTTTCACGCAGCAAAGCGCTGTGGCACTGGGTACGAAATGATCACTTTGAGTTATTTTTTCCACTCCTACTTGTACACGCTATGCGCAAATAGGACACCACCTCATGCGCTTGTATATCTGTGATTCTCCTGCATTGATTTAGATAGTCCAACACACTTGACACATAGTCGGGAAATTAAGGTGGATGAACATGCCACCCAAGGATATCCATTCATGCCTTAAATGAAGATTTAGTAAGATTTTGAATGACTTGTGCTGTCACCAGAGCCTTGGGCACGTACCTAGTATGCATCTAAGATGTCAACGCATCAGCAGTTGCGGCGGATGTCGGGTTATAGGCGACACGTGCCTAACTCTCGAAATACGTTATAGGCGACACGTGCCTAACTCTCCAACCACGTCATAGGCGACACGTACCTAACTCTGGAACCACGTTTTGTAAACATGGGAGAGTTTCATACTTGTCTCTAATGTACCCACAGCGCACGAGAGACGTTACACGTTTGACTAATACGCTGCATCGTCTAACAAAATATTCCTGGTAGCCCTCTTAGAACGTTGAAAACAAAACTACGAACACGAAGTTACCCACTGTTGTCAACATACATGGACACAGTTTTGTTAACTGCGCAAATGTCACTTCTGGCAGCTTTGCGATGCACAATTACAAACAAAAATGGCTTTCGCATTTCTCCAGCATGAGCAACGCAGGAAGCTTTGGTAGCATCTGGCTTTTAGTAAAAAGCATTTCAAAATGACGCAATACCTCCTCTGGATAGAGAGCAGATACCGCCGGCAATGGACAGTCGCATGCGTGAATTATGACGTCAACGCAGCCAGTAATGTACCAGGAGACAATGGCTGCAGTTGGGGCTGTTTCATTGGTTGGTGTATCCCGAGTATAGATACACGCCCGAAGTATCCTATTTGCTGTGCGATGGTCGTTCTCGTTGTTAAGAAGGCATACTAGATGAACGTCGTCCTGCTCTTATGAATTGGATACCGCTAAAGCTGTCAAGCGGCATGTGTTACACGTAGCCTGGGATTTGAAAATGTTATATAATGTGCTCATGGTTTCAGCTCATTGAAACCAGAATCGATTTTGGTCCCCGCGGCGTGCTGGTGCTTGTGAATTAGAACCAAAATATTTCTGATATGATAAACAGTGCAATGAACCTTGTTTGTTCCTATATTCACGCAAAATTGCATTCTTTACAGGCAACATGCTGTGCTGAGTATGTTACCAGCCACTTGGTATGGCAACTAATTGCACGGTTTTCTGCGATGGAAATCAACAAATTTCGTAACTTTAAGACCTTAAGATAAACCAATGCTGTAGTTAACGTTTCCAAAAGTTCTCAATATGAAGGCGGATTGGCGCGGATTGATTTGATATGTTTTTTTCTGGTGGGCGGGCCGGGCCGGATTGGATTGACAAATCTGGAAAAAGGCGGACTGGCGCGTGGATTAGATCTGGACTGGCCGGACTGCACTGGACCGGATTCTGAAAATTCAGTCGACGAGGTGCACTACGACCAGCTCAGCCCTAGAGAGCTTTCATTGCCCTTGCACACTCGCAAATGCTTAGTCAAGAAAAGGGGCCAGTTTTCTCCAGTAAACATGCACGGCGTCTACCTCGATGTCGATTTACGTGCTCCACAAATAAGGAAGGTTGTATGGCAGGTACACAATGTGTTCTAGCTGCATAAAACGTGGATTGTGAGAACAGCGGAAACTGGGTTGGCCTAAAATGCCTGACATGATTACCGAACCGAACATTACGACGATGCAAAGCATTCTGTCCGATATCCGTGCAGCCGAGGCGATGCACTAACGGGCGGTCGGCCGTGCCTCGGCCTCCTCTCGTGCCCCTCTGGTCACAGCTGACGGCATATCGCAGCTCCCGCCCGCGGCTACGCACTGCGGCTGCCGTCAGACGGTGCTACCAGCCAACGTTTGTCCGCCT